CTGGAACGTTCGAATTTTTGGTTAAAAATGAGTTTTTCTTGCGTCAATATTAGTATGAGAAATTTAGGGTTTTTTTCTTTTTAGCTTAAAAAAATCACACTATTTTGAAAATTTTTGGAAAAATCAAATAACTGTCGAAATTTAATTAAATTTTCAGGACTAATTCATACGAAAAATCAATGAAATTATTTCGGACAATTTTTTTAGAAAATCTTAGTGAAAATATTTTTAAAGATTAGTCACGTTTAATTTTATGAAATTTAGCGAAATTAAAATTCCACACGCTTCATATTTATATTACCTAATTGCAGATTAGGTAATATAAAATCATCAGTTTGTTTTTATCAAACAGAAATATTATTTACCGAACAACTGCTCGGAATCATAAAATAAAAAAATGCAATAAGACTATGCGATTATTTAATTAGAAAGGTTTTACTTGCTTTTATAAATAAAACATGAAGGACGCTATTGTTTAAGAAAAAAATGTTCGATAAATAATGAATTTTTAGAAGAATTGTTTTCATTTTATTTGAATTAACATAATTTATTACTTTTTAAATCTTCTAAAATTCTCTATTTAGAAGCGACTCATTTTTCAAGAAAATAAGTTTCCTAATTCCACTGTTATTGCTCTGACGTGTATTGCTGGGAGTTTCCTTCCTAATCTTTTGCCTAAGGCTGTAGAAAAAGCGAACATCTTGAATCTGTTATTATTTGATTTTCAGGTTAGATGTTTTTGTGATGTCAACGAACACTGGTTGCCACTTTTGTAATGCCAACGAATACACGTTATCACTTTTGTAATTCTCGTTGTAGTAGAGACTTTGTAATCGCAGGTACAACTATAGTACGCCGTTGAGTAATGCTGGTATCAGACGCCTTCGAATACCACTCGCTCTAATAACACCTGCTCGATAATACTCGCTCGAATAAGGATCTGTATAGTGATAGAGGATAGATTAGAAATGGTAATCCGAATAGTAACAGAGGATAGACTAGAATTAGATTAACACGTCACACAACTTCCTGCGTTTCTTCTATTGTCACGTAGTCTACTTAATTTAATAATGGGATCGCCTGTGATTGCTAACTGGTGATCTATGTTCAAACTCAAGTGACGTCAGCGACACTTTATTCCTTTATAACAGATGTGGTACTCATATTAATTGTTGCTGATTTTGATTTGTTTTTCTTATTTAGTAAAGTTCTTTATGATTCTCTATCACCAACCTGCGGGATTCGATGAAATGCAATCCTCTCTAAGACATGCAGGACTCATTTTTAATCACTGATATGAGAAAAAGGTTGTATATACCTAATAGTTTAGGCATTTCGAAAGAAGAGAATTTAATGAATGACATCCATACACGATTCCTGATCTGACGTGGACATTTAAGGACATGACTTGTGTTCTTAGTTTAATATTTTGGTTTTATAGTACCATGCGTTTTTGGAGCGAACAATTACTCCTTGTGTGGTTTATTCAGTATTAAATTTCATTATATTCCCTATTTCATTTCTTAAGATTTTACCAAGCAGGATTTCAGCCAAACAAATACAAATGTAATTTTCAAACTGATACTGTTCATTGAAACAAATAATCCCGAGACCTGTTTATTTTTGCTTTTTAGAGACGATTTAAATGGCATATTTAAACTTCACATACTGATTTTCCTGTTTATTTGACTCTACCAAATTATTTCGCTTTCCATGATCTATTTGTTTAAATCGCACTTAACAGTTTAGCATAAAATCTAAAATAAGCTGCTTTCTGTGTTGCACGACCCATAAAACAATGACGTTTTTTCTCCTTTTCTCAAGTCGACAATAGAGACGCAATCCTTCTTTGTAGCAATTGCGAATTTTTACAGTTTCAGGTACTATCCCGATGACACAAGATGTACTACTTTACATGGAGAAAGGTTTACAACTGATTAAATATTTATCTAAAGTATCAGGCGAAGAAGTATCTGTCCTTCCCTAAGAAAATTAATACAAAGTGTCATTAAAGTAGAGTATAAATACAAAGTAATAATAATTAGTACAAAGTGGAATAAATTAAATAATAAATAATAATTAGTAACCCTACGAGACTGGCATCCCGCTCTCACCCCTTCACTGTCGAAACTCATAAATGTAGCCGTCTCTTCTACTCTAATAGCTTCATGTCTCGCACCTCTCGCCTGTGGAACTCTCTTCCCTTCTCCTGTTTCCCTGAGAGTTATAATCTCCAGCTATTCAAGTGTAATGTCAATCGACATCTCCAGTTGCCTTAATCTATCTACTACCCTCATCCTTTCTTCTATCACTCCTATCTGATCTTCCTATTTTCTGTAACCCCTTGCGTCCTAGTGGCTCCACGCCTTGCTTGGGGTGAAATGCTTAAAAAAAACAAAAAAAAAAAAAAAAAACAGTAGAGTATTAGTACAAAGTGAACACAAAATGTACCATCCGCAATTTGAACACGTTTAGCTTATTTCATACTCCGTGGTGTTAAAGATTATAACTTAGTTTTAATTAGTATTAGTAAAATTAGTATTATGTTCGACACTTTTTATTGTTTTTATAATAATTTCAAATATCTTTTGGACACATAATTAGAAAAATTGATTTTCATGATTCAGTAAAAAAAAATCACCATGTGAAATTTGATCAATATTAATTTATTCATCTATCGTCTGAAAAAGATTTCATCCATGTCTTTGTGACGTTAATTTAAACAGACACGCACACTCCTTTTTAAATATAATTTTGAATAATGAAAGTCCCACTGAAATATGCTCTAAAATGCACAAATTTTCTTTTGAGATCAAGAAAATAAGATCCTTAAAAAAAAATGGTCGCTTTATATGAAATAAAAAGCGTAGGTCTCAGTTTAAGCTAACAACAACAGGATATGGTGTTAACTGATATCTATATGCTTTCCGTATAAGCATTCCACTATAATTAAAAACACGAAATTTGGAAAATGGATATTGAACTGACATACGTTTGAATGCTTCCAAGTTTACATCAGGATATAAAAATATGCGAATTTTAAGAAAAATGCAAAACATATTTGGATAAGGGAGAAGGTGTTAGTGTGAACTGACATGGTTTTGCGATGCTGATCGGATTCCTGGGTAGAGACGGCCATGTTATGTCGCAGCATTTCTCTCAGCAACGCCTTATAGTTAATCCTAGCACCTAAATCGAAATGTGCCATACGTATTCTTTTTGCTTCCACAAAAGGTCAAGGGAGTCGCACCCGAGAAGCGTCCCGATGATGATCAAAATATTTGGCCTTCTAGACATCCTAACATGTACTCTCTTACTACAATTGGAAGGTCAGCTACAACGAATCAATCAGTGGGTTCATAATACACAATCTGAAATAGGTCGTAGGCATGATGGCTATAGTTTATAGTTCATTTTGTTCTACGGTATATCAACCTCAATTGATTATTTAATGCCCACAAGATTTTTATGATAGTTTCGTATGAATAGAATATTTATTCTCAGTAAGAAATCAGTTTGTTGATCAGGTTTTTTTGACGTAATTTTGTATAGAATTTTTTTGTCGAAAGTCAAACTTATTGTTGGTATTTTTTTTCCAAAACATCCATTAAAACATCTATTGCTGGTATTATTTTTTTTTCAAACATGTATTTCTGATAGTCTTAATATAAAAATCTATTTCTATATTTTCATAGTGTTTTGACCTAAGTTTGGTGGGTAACTATCTGCTCATATCTGGGACCCTAACAGGTGCTACCACTCCGGGTCAGGGTGAACCTGGGAACAACAGCAATTCCACGTTCCTCAAAAGCTCCCAATCAATGGCCTTGCTGCTGGATGTAGTTTATCGTCATAACCAGAACGGATGATAGCTCTAATTAACGAAATCACTTTCTCCGAGTTTGCGGTCGCTTAGAGGCCTAACTCAAGGCAGAGGTTGCTTTCATTGAAATTTATTTTAATTCCTATCCAGTTTATATCAAAGCTTGGGCTCGCAAAGGATTCTTGGGGGGGGTTCTACTGTTGTTCGTAAAACCCATGAGAGATTTTTTTCTACAGTGGGTGTAGAGGGTGATTGAATCGTTTCTGTCCTGAGATACAGCGTTGGGAGTAAGTAGGCATTTCGCTAGGTAGAACTCATAGCACTATATCAGTATATCAATCGACACTGCTTGGCATTTGCTACCGTAATATTCCTGC